ATTTTTCAGGGCCGGTTGCTACGTCCATCTTTTATACAGTCTATGGGTCAGAGAAGCTTAAAGATGCATCAGTCTGTTCCTCCAGTTGGACTTGTTCTTGAATTGTAACTTGTTTTCAGGTCACAAAATGAACTGAAAGCTAGAGTTTAAAGAAGCACCACACTGGATGTTTGCGGATCTTTTCCAACTCATTCTGGTCTCTTACTGACACTGATAGAAGCTCACACTTTGTTCCATCTACTTGCTTATGTACAATACAATGCTTACACCAGATAACACGAGGAAAACACTTCCGCTTACATTTAAAACAGGACATATCTATTTATATGCAACATTTTCAAGCTAAGCTGTAAATGTTTGGCCTGGCAGATGTTATCTAACTGTCAATGTGATTAGCTCAGGAGCATCAGACATCACTACAACATCTGTCACAGTTATGATCACTTCCATTCAGACAGTAGCTGTGTCTGAATTACACTTTATCTACATCATAACATAGAGCAATAATGTGTTGTTTCTTTGCTAAACAGAAGACTGTTGCTGTGCAGTTGACATGATTTCACATTTCATTTGCTGTGATTGAGAGAAATGAATGATGTGTCAAAGTGCCATCGGCTGCAGCAGCTTTGAGTTCCGGCCACACGATGACATCAGTACATGAGTGGAAATGTGGCGTTAAGGGCTGTAAGATGATTAGTGGGGTAGAAAACACAAACATACCTCCAGCTGCTACACCTGATTGTGTTTTACATTTCGTCTCATCTTTGCTGATTTTTCAGTGCTGGGTAGTTTACTCTCAGGCCCCTCACTTATGTCACTGCTCAAATATTACCCAGAATTCACGAAAATGAACCAAAACTGAACTTTTTTCTTAGTTAGCTCTTTCACATTCAGCATTTTGCACATTTATCCAACACTGTAAAACAGTCACAGGCATTTATTTATTTTATTTTTTTTACAGTTCTGTTTTTTTCATGTTACATTTTAATTAACATCAAGCAGATGATAAATGGTGAAAATGTGGAACGCCATCTGTACTGACAAAACACACCGCTATTTTACATTCATGTGCTCGAGCTATCACACCTTTCCTTTAGCAAGTGACACACTAACTAACTTCCTGTGTTTTTCATCCTTGTTGCCACAGTCTGGTGACTAAGCCCTGGAGGGGAGCTCACATGCATACTGATATAAACAAGAAACTCACAGGCAGGTGGGCACACAGCAGCTCACAAGAGAGAGGCTCTGCTAAGTGTTTACGTGTAAAAAAAAAACTGCTCCGGGTGGAACGGATGAATGCTGTGAGAGAGAAATATAGAAAAAGTATGAATCAGATGCAGCTAAACAGAACCGACTGAAGAGGCCGTCTGCAGGAAACGGTACACAAAGAACAAGAAGACGGATGAGCGTCTCAGACCCTCTGCCCCCCAATTATTGTGGTGAGTATATTAAATTAGACACAGCCACCACCTCAGGGTGATGTCCACTTAATTCAATCTATTGTGTCTCTTTGTCTGCCTGGTGACATTTTATTGGAGCATTACCAGTGCTCCCACTGGGCCTGTAAACAGGCATAACTTCACAATGAGCACTCACCCTGACTCTGCCCCATCTGTCTCCATCCTCCCACCTCACACTTCTGCCCTCACAGTCTGATGAGTACATCCCTGATCTGATGCCAGTCTCTGAAGGAACACACTCATATACTTGTCTGCTTTCTTACCCAGAGGGGGATGAGAAAATTAATGTCAACCTCGTGTCTGTGAGGTACAAGTGGAGCTGTATATGAGGAAGTGAAGGCAGGGGGATCACAGCTGATGTGGACTGGTCTGAGGTGTTGTTCAATCCAATCTGTGTTTTTGACCAACATCCATTTATTCATGTTCCCAGTGAAAAAGGTTCTGGTATAGATCTCTGTATAGGCACAATGGTACCAAACCATTTTATTAACCCGTAGTTAGCAGGTACTACAGCTAATCTGCATTACATTTTCTGACATGCACGTCCCTTGTCTTCTGCCCCATTGGTTAATATATTTTTAATCTCTTAAATTATTATGTTAATTAATTAATTAAAGATTAATTATAAACCCCCTTAGTAGTGCCATGAGATTTCTATTAATCAAGCAAATACGTTATTGTCCCTAAATCTGGAACTATTTCTTGTAAAACCAACAACACACCATCTACATATCACATTCTCTGCTGCAGAGCTGAAAACTGGTCCAACCAACCAAAGCAATAATTCCTATTGGTTAAGAGAAAAGGTTTGATGACATTGTGCTGAGAGAAGAATTCCTGTCAGGCATCGATTTAGGTGATCTCTGCTATGTTCAAATGCTCATCGTGCAGATTATTGGCTATTCACTCATGTTAAGATACAAAACACGTTTTTTAAAAATCATTTTCAATTTATTCACTTTTCTCCATATTAAGTGTTAAACTCTCATCATGTCCTTTCAAATATGGTTTAAAGCACCAGTTTCCTGAATCAGACACATTCTGTGCTGCCTTTCAAACCTAATGACTTTACTTTCAGCCGACTTTTAATCTGATTACTTTCAATTTCTCATGAATTTGTTACTGCCGACACGTTTTTTGAGAATTCTGTATGTACACAATACCGATTCATGATCTGCCTTGTTCACAGCATCTCTTTAACCGGTCATGTAATAACAAACATTAGTAACAGCTCCATCCTATTCAAGCACTCAGTTATTCTATTATTTCCACCTGGGCCTTCTTCGCTGTTATTTTTTCAAAACGTATTCAGTGACAAAGGCGTTCAAAGAATTTTTCATCATCTTAGGACGACATCTTCACTGACTGTCGAACATCTACTGTACATCGGTTTGACATTGTCGCAGGTCCTCTGAGAGACGGAGCAGTCACTGTTTAGAAAAGAAAATATTTATCACGCAAACATTTGGAGCGTTCCAACTTTTTAAAAGCCAGCAAACGTGTTTTTTTTCCAAAGATCGACTTGTTTGTTTGTGCTATTCAAGTAATAATTCTGTTTTTTCAAGCATCTGCCACTTCAAACTGTGACCAACGCCTGCTGATGTTGTGCATTGCAGTTTTTTTGCAAAATAAATATGCATCGATAGCACACTAAAATAATTTTACTATGCACTTCACTGGCAAATCAAAATGGAATTTATGGTCCCTTTTTGCTGTCAAAACATAGTTAAAATGAGAATAATTGTCTCGATGGAATGTGCACTGTTGTTGACTTTCCGGCTTTCTGTCCTTGAGGGTGCTGGGGATGCTTTTTTTTTTGGAGAAGGGGGTGGAGGGTGTTCTTACCACCTCAGCAGGGGGCAGAGGTAGCGTGAAGGAGGTTTGGGGGCGATCTGGCTTATTCAGGTCACTGGGTCTGACAGGGGGAATGAGGACAAGGGGCATGAGGAGGTCTGGGCTGCAGCAGGGCTTCATGGGAGCTCGGGGACTGTGCTGCCGTCTACGGGGGCCGGAGGGCGGGGTGGGGCTGGGCGGAGGGCTCATCTCAGCTCCTCTCCTCCAGGTTTAATTTTGTTTATTGGAGTGGCTCTAACATGAGAATAGGCCATGATGAAACAAACAGATAACATCTAATGAAAGAAAAACATTGAAAGAGGAGAAAATCTGACTTATTGGTGGAAGTGAGATGTAAAGGAGGCAGACACCTTATCTCAAAACAAACAACAGAAGGAAAGAAAAAAAAAGGCAAATATGCCAAGATGACAAGCAAAGATTAAAGACTCGGCTGTCTGTGAGAGCTGTCTGGGAGGAAAACACAGAACAAGATGCATAACACAAAATGTTATCTGCAGGTTTCAGAAAGTCAGATGAAAGGCTCTTTAAGACCCTTCTAACACCTGAAACTGAATTTAAAATGAAGACAAATGAAAGAACACAAGGCCCGTTTCTGACGCAACATACTGTAGCAGATAATACAGGTGGAGTAAGAACGAGTACAGCAGGACGTTAACTACCAAACACTCCCTCAATACCTGGATCACACATATCAGAACACCGTTTACATCTATGGTATTAATATTATTTATCTCCCAATGATACCCTCCATCCCAGGAAAAAAATCGTACAAATTAAAGTATTAAAATTGAAATAAGGGAGGTCAGTGTGGTGGAGAAAGAAGGCTTTCTCTCTCCGTCTTTCATTTAACTTGTCGTTTCTTATCAAGCTCTACACACCTCCTTCCTTCGGTCCTTTCTAATCAAACGCCATCCTTTCGCTGTCTGCCCTTTCTTCAGTCGTACTTTTGGTTTTGTATTAGGACAGGAACAGCAGTGCATTTTAATCGGTTGAAACACATTAGCAGCCCGCCTCGGTGTGTCTTCAGCCATGAACAAAACGTTGTAGATGCTTAGAAAGTGTGGTGAGATCTGGATTTTTTTCAGACGCCGCACATGCAGAATAAAACAAGCTCGCACTCATAAACAGACGTACACTCACTTGACTCCCCAGCTGTTTTGTGCCGGGATACGTCTCGACAGAAAACCAATTAGAGTCAGAATCGTACTCCATCTCGTTAAATGTCTCTCATTAATGTCATTTAATTAAAAGCTTATCTCTTGTTGTGGAGGTGCCAGAGCCCTGGCAACCGTGGCTGAGCCCGTTGGCAGAGGGAGATGGAAGTGAGAGAAAACGCAAGAGGACCGGTTTTTGAAGTGGAGACAAACAGACTGCGGCCGACTGCCTGAACCAGTCTCATTAGGTAACTTATTTATGCTGATGAACATTTGGAGTCTTTTTTTAGTAACCTTCATCTATGTGGGAACACAGTCGCTTCCTCCGCTTCACATCCTCATATATTCACACCTGGGAGCTGCACGGCACAAGACAAATAGACTGTATGGCACGTTATCCATCTTGTGTATAAACACTTTGTCTCCATTTCTGCTCGAAGGGTCAAAGACTGCATTAATTAAAAAAAACTCAGAGAGATAAATGAGACAAACAGCAACAAACAGTTCCTTGTACCCAAACTTCCAAGTTAAACGGCTTGTTGCCATCCTCAGCGTGAAATGAAACTGGGGCTGTATCGCCGCCGCTCGTTAAGGCGGGATCTCATTAAGACAGCATCAACTAATCACGACAGAAAACCCACAAAACAGAAAAAACAGAATTCCATTCCATTATGCTAAAACTGCAGTTGCTCGTTTGTCCCCTGAAGTGAACGTTTCACACCAGCCTTCATACCAACCACGGTAGGAAGGAGCTGAAAAGATACAGGCACCAAAGAACCTCTTCTCCAGTCAAGAAAAACAGTCCTGCAGCTGTCAGACGGTGAGCTCAGAGTGGACAGGAACCTTTCTTGGAGCAGAAGATACACTCCTTTTGTCAGCTCCATGTTACAGGCAGTCCAGGGTTCATGTAAGCTGTGCTATAACCTTCAGCTGTGGTGAACACGCCATTTTTCTTACTGCAGAACAATACTGCTGTTAAATTACCCTCAAGTCGGCAGCCATGGCAAACAAAGACACATGCATATTCAGAACACTTAGAACAGAACGGACCCAAAACTAAACCCAAAATAAAAACTGGTCATTTTCTCAAATAGAAGTATTGAGCTGAAGTTTCCAGACGGTGAGGTGTGCCTCGTGCAGAAGCAAACAGCTGAGGTTGGTTGTGGTAGTCTGACTGCTGTGGGTCCCACTCATGAGCACAGTCAGCAGTCGGAGCTCCAGCACTGACACATAGCTCACGGACTGCAATGGAGGAACTTTAAAATCCTCAGCACCCACATTGCTGCAATCTGTGTCAAACATTACTCTCTTATTTTTAAGTCGTGTGTCATGATGTTTTTATCCCCCCCAAACCCCAATAACTCTATGACTTGTCTTTAAGTTTTTAATTTTTCATGGGCATCGAGATGATCTGATACCAGCCAAATGCACACCGTGGATAGAATGCAAACAAGAACTGTTAAAGGACATTTCACCAACACTGTAATAGGTCCTGTGTGCAAAAATATAAACAAACAGAAAATGTATTTCAACTTGTATCCTAAGCTACCTACTTAACTTAGTGGCCACAGTAGTTCTTCAAAATCCATCCATCCATCATCTATACACCGCTTAATCCTCATTAGGGTCGTGGGGGGCTGGAGTCTATTCCAGCTGACTCAGGGTGAAGGCAGGTTCACCTGGACAGGTAACCAGTCTATCACAGGGCTACACTTAGAGACAGACAACCAAGCACACTCACACTCACACCTACGGACAATTTACAATCACCAATTAACCTCAGCATGTTTCTGGACTGTGGGAGGAAGCCGGAGAACCCGGAGAGAACCCACGCTGCACGGGGAGAACATGGAGACTCCGCGCAGAAAGACGCGAACCGGCGACCTTCTAGCTGCGAGGCAACAGTGCTACCAACTGCGCCGCCTTGCAGCCCTCTTCAAAATCCATCATTACAAACTTCAAACTATCTTAGTCAGCCTGACAACTCCAGAGAGATGCAATGACCATCACAGACGACACGATATCACCGTGTGACAGCAGCCACAACGGTAATCTGACTTAAACGCTTTGCCTGTTTGAATCTATAGCTGCTGAGAGTAGGGCGAATGCTACTATTTCAGTGCTGTTCATTTTCTTATCCGCTTTAGCCACTGGCAGGTGGATCCACTGGGTATCGACCAGACCAGAAGGAAGGAAAAGTGTTTCACAGCTACCACTTCACAGCCAGTGTCTGTGTTCAGTCTGTGCTCTTAACACCTACAACCTGCATTTGACCAGGAACAAGTTTGAGAGTTTCTAGTGTGGATCAGAAAAACTCTTATTCCTCATTATCTTGGTTTATTTAGACTTGTGTAAGCTGCTGGGTAACACTGGTTGCCCTCTTAACAACCTGAGGGGTTCGGTGTTTGCTTCTAATAGGTAACTGGTGCAGTTTGTTTGTGGTGTAAAAAACACAGCGAAACAACCAAACGATTGTACGATATGGCACGTGTTTCATCACGTGTGGGGATTTTCCCTGGTTGGCCACAAAATCCAGACTTAAATCAGAGGTTGTTTGATTTTGGAAGTTCCTCATTAAAGCAGATCAAAAGCAACAACTACACAGTGACTGCTGCAATCTCTGTTCTGTCTGGTCTCATAGGTGGACCGGGAGTGTAGACTAATATATGCTCATTACTACTATTACATGTTTTTTGAGACACCAGAGAACAAAATTAGACTAAAGTTGCAACAATTAATTGAACAGTTGTTTAAAAAAAAGACAAAGTTCTCTGATTAAACCAAACAACTAAGAGAAAAATGAAGAAAATTATCAACAAAATGAAAAGGAACTGATAGTTTCAACCTAAAAATCAACACACCATCACGACCTGCTCCAGTTTCCACAATCTTATTTCCCTTTTAAGTAGATATGGCACTAATGATGCAACACAACTGTCCAGTTAATGAGTCACTGATTATAACTAAAGTTAACGATCTATTGGTGTTTTTCTTGATACCAACCAAACGAGCCAAACTAAACGGGACCTTTAAATCTCTTTAATCACATCAAACATACATATAGACTGTATGTATCCACATAATACACAACACACTGACCTGTAATGATAACCTCCAAATCATTTAAAACCAACTCAGTATCCATTATTATGATAATTTCAGGTTCTCCTGTGCAGGATTCCAGTTGGGGGTACATCCTAATCACAGGCCATATTGTTTACAGTGATGAAGCATGCAATTACACACAAGCAGGGCCAGATATTAGTAAATGAAGGGAATGATATCTACTCAGCATGCATTGCACAGCGATGTGATATAAGATACTACTGTAAGCGATGCTGTGATCCATTGTGCTGCACAAACACACAACTCCTACATGAGGCGGGCGGGATGCTGACGCTGACCAAGGCTGTGGATTAGAGCAACGTAACTACAAGAGCGGTGGGCTTTCTTTACATGTACGCGTGTCTTTCCTAAATCACCCAGGATTTAGGAGGCTGTCATGTTCAAACCTTTGTTGCAGTCTTTGACCAGATTCTCCTTGTCTGCTCGTGCCCCAGGGGCAAGCAATTGCAAATCAAACAGCTACACCTCTAAGCCGTGCAGAATAAAGGAGGAAGCAGCGTCGGTACTCACCGTTGATAACCGGGGTGTACACGACAATGCCGGCCAGATTTGGGTCAGACACCGTTTTGTCCAGAATGAGCCCTCCGATGCTGCAGAGCACAACATAATTAGATCATTATCTGTCGCTACAGACAAAGAGGACAGAGAGAGAGACAGAGAGGGCATTATCTTCATCTGAATGTGGTAAACAGCTGAAGTGTGCGCTTCTCTATAAATGTGGATGTGACAGAGACTGACAGACAGAACAAGAGTGAAGGACTTAAAGTTGTTTTCAGCTTATGGTGTCCAGAGTTAATATTTGTGTTTCCTCTCTCGTCTATTAAAGCCTGAGAGGACATGTTGTGTATCACCTGCACTGACTGCTAAGAGGAGAGAGAGTGAGAGAGTGAGTGAGAGTGAGCGAGACAATAATTCCCCTCCTACTGGCTGTATCTGTAAGACGGCCAGACCCAAGGGGACCCGAGGGTGTGTGTGCGCTCGGGTGCTGCAATTTGTTTAGGGGATGAGTCATCATGCAAACCAGACACTGGGAGTCTCAGACACAGAATAGCTGTTCTTTCCCCTTTCAAGACTAAACACACACACACACACACACACACCTGCTGATGACCATGGCAGTGATGACTGGCTCCCATCCGGAGTAGAGCAGGGTGCGGCTGGCAGGGTGCTTGGAGGAGATGACGATCCACAGAGGAGTCAGACACATGAAGAAGGCGCAGACCAGCGACGACACATATGGGTAGGAATCTGAGGAGGAGACAGACAGCCACTGAATGTTCCTGCTCCATTTTTTTTTTTCCGCTTTGGATTAAGCTGAGAATATGAAATGTTTCAATGGCAGAGGCAACCCGACTCCTGCAACAATTCCACAACGAATATTTTCAGCAGCGTAGTCTAAGGAACACAAAAGCTTTTCTCAATTTATTGTACAATGCATTATGTCTCATACTGACAAGCAGCCATACAAGAACTTTGCCTAATTTAAAGGTTATTTAAAATCATGAAGGTTTCCTTGTGTCCCATCAAAACTGACCAAGCAGTCAAATCACTGCTCCACAGTTCACTAAATGAAGCAACATTAGCACAGCTGTCATGTCGCGCTGCAGGACGCTGGGCCGGCGTTCTCTCTGACATTTGGTTTTCTCAGGTATCAATCTTTTTTATGGGAATGTGCACCTTTCATACTTTAACAAAAACAAAGTAACAAAGGCTTATGAGTTTTATGTTCACACAAGAGCACTGTGGCCTCTCCTTAACAAAGGCATGATGCACAATCCAGCGCACCTGGAGGCCATTCCAGGTGATACTGAGCTTTAGTGAATATGCCCCTCACAAAACTGCAATTACTCAAATTACCACAATCAACTTGACACAGTGTGGATCTAAAAAGCCCTGAAGCTGCTGCACTCTGTGACCTTTTGTTAATCCAGCCCTGGCAGTTTGTCAGCAGTTCAAATATAACTTCTCTTAAACACAGTGAAAACGTTCAGGGAACATTGGTCCCATCCTCAACAGAACAATGATGTAAATAGGCTGAAAGAGAAAACAACTCAACTAGATACTCTGAGCCACTTAGAAGAACTCGTTGTGGTAAAACAACGTACTCTGTGTGAGTGGGACTCTGTATGTCTTGACCGAAGCTGGAGTTACGCTTCTCTGGGCCACATGTAGGCGATCCTGAACAAGGGCCGTCTGGATGTTTGTGAGTATTCCAGACATGTAGTATTGTGTTTGTTTTTGTCTCTATTTCATAGTGCCTCTCTTCTGACAGCTGAATCGACCAATCAACTTGCATCACGCGCTGCTAAGAGCAGTTACTCATGGCACCCTCCTCTGCATCGGCTCACAGAGACACTTAAAGGAATTTTCAGAGAAGCATAATTCCAGCTTAATCCTTAGAGCTGTCAGTCAACTGCCACGACTGTTTAAATGACTACGATGAGAGACTACAGCCAAGACAGTGGCTCAGTGACGCGACGCTGAGGCTCAGCAAAGCTCAGCGATGCACGCTAACATCAGGGGGTCCAGCCAGGATTTGTGAGGAGGGGGAGCCCTTGTCCAGCGGGGCTGAGGCTTGGAGACCAGGCTGCAGATAGCAGAGACAGGGATTGTTTCATCAGTAGAAAGCAGTTCCAAAAAACTGTGCACGTTGTGTTCTGAAGGTCTGGACTGTCCAGAGATTGTGTTTCTGGGGAAAAACAAGTTGCAGTAGAATTTTCTAAATGCCATTTTTTTTTTTAAAAAACTGAAAAATAAATTCCATTTCCCTCTATTGCACTGGTAAAATTTCAAAGTCAGATGTCTCTGAAGTGATTTGGATGAAGCAATATTTTGAAAGAAAAAAAATCCCCTCTTTCAAAAATTAGGAAATCCCAAAAGTAAAAAATATAAAACCCAAATACACAGTCCTGTAGACCAATACACCGCAGGCCACTGTTTTATATTTAAACTGATATCACTCATTATTTGTATTTAATAACATTACTGCCATACCAAAAAAAACAAAAATGAATGTATCCTTGAGCTGATCTAACTAAAGTATCTGCTGAGCATAATCAACTATATTTCATTATTAGGTTGACTGTCTGTTGTCTTATTTTTTATCGACTTAAGCGATTCCACACTTGCACTAAGGTCACTACTCCAAATATTACTGCATTTAAGCAGCAGAACTAATAACTCGCTGTAATAATCCACTCAACACACCTGGGAAAAAACAATGCAATCTTTCCAGAGGAAGCTACATTTGGATTCTTGCAGAAAATATCAGAACAAATGCTGGATCCATCCTGACTACAGCTCAGTGACTTGACTACAGAAGTGCAACAGCTCTGCTTTTTGCATTTTAAAAAGCATGAAGTAAACAACACTATGGCCAATCACAGTGATTAGTCACAAGAGGGAAATGTTTACTGAAGTCACCACTGCTGGACAACCTGTGTAGATTGCATTCTGAGTGTGAGATTCAGTGTGGATGCTGCCACTGGGTGATGCTACAGTCTGACACAGTCAAAGAATGGAAGGCGACATTGTTTGTATGTTAGCGAGATGTTTATGAGTCTGATGGCAGATTTCAGGATTTGCCTTTGAGTTGGTAATGTTGTGATACTGAAAGAGACGGAGCTCAGCTTTAAGCCCTCATGCTAACATCCATCCATCATCTCTACACCTTAATCCTCACCAGGGTCATGGGGGGCTGGAGTCTATCCCAGCTGACTCAGGGTGAAGGCAGGTTCACCTGGACAGGTAACCAGTCTATCACAGGGCTACACTTAGAGACAGACAACCAAGCACACTCACATTCACACCTACGGACAATTTACAATCACCAATTAACCTCAACATGTTTCTGGACTGTGGGAGGAAGCCGGAGAACCCGGAGAGAACCCACGCTGCACGGGGAGAACATGGAGACTCCACGCAGAAAGATCCCGGGTGTCCTCACCGGGACGCGAACCGGCGACCTTCTAGCTGTGAGGCAACGGTGCTAACCACTGCCCCACCATGCAGCCCCTCAACCTAATCAGAGCAGCTAAATTCTAAAATATTTGAAAAGAGGAAATTAATTATTTTCTTCTTTTAGAGGATTTAAGCAGAACTTCAAGTGGCGTTACACTGAATACAAATAACCATGAAAGTCATTCTAAGTTGTGTTTTCTTTCTATGGAGTCCCACCTGTAACAGACAATAAATGTGTTCACAGACTGATCTGTGAGCAGCTGATCTCTGTTGACCACTGCTGAAGCTGACATGTGGAATAAATTAAACTAACCACCGATCACCGTGCAGCCCCCCATGCTAACGTGTTCACAATAAAAATATTAACATGCAGGTGTTTAGAAGATAAACTAATTACATGTTCACACGCTAAGATGTAAATAAAACACAAAGCTCCAATGAGACTGGTCGTAATTTTATACATTTATCTTGTACGTGACCATAAAGCACTGGACAAAGATAAACTTGCTCTTTCTTGCAATATCTGTGTTTATGAAAAGCCTCTCACTGAGCAGAAAGATGAGTAGTCAGGACATTAAAGGGTACTGCATTTGGTCTGTGAACTTTAAACCCCTCTGACCTTCATCTCTTAACGTTCCTCTCTGGTCGATGACTTCACCCCTAAAAACTGTGTCAACTGTCTACAATTTAGAAGTCTAATCCATGAAAACAGTCCCTTCCTGCCCTGCCTCCACAGAATGTGACCGATCTGTGAAGTTCACACTTTACAATCAGCCCTCATTACTCACAGCAGCTTGAGCACACCAGCTCACCTGTGACTCTGCTCAAACACTGTTAAACTACTCTGCACGACACACTGGCAAGGTGGCATATTGGAGTAATTCAGCCAAGCATGCTTAAACCGGAAACAATTTTGGCAAAAAAATAATGATAAAGAGGGCTGCAGGGTGGGGCAGTTGGTTAGCACTGTTGCCTCGCAGCAAGAAGGTTGCCGGTTCGCGTCCCGGTGGGGGCACCGGGATCTTTCTGCGTGGAGCTGTGAGTGTGCTTGGTTGTCTGTCTCTAAGTGTAGTCCTGTGATAGACTGGTTACCTGTCCAGGTGAACCTGCCTTCACCCTGAGTCAGCTGGGATAGACTCCAGCCCCCCATGACCCTAGTGAGGATTAAGGTGTATAGATAATGGATGGATGGATGATGCTAAAGAAAGTTCCAACCTGCAAGTTGCCAGGCTTGACTCCTTCGGGTTGCAACGTATGAAACTCTGGTCGTCTGAACCCGTGTTTTGAGACTGTCATCATTACACTGCAGATTTAAGGTGGGAATACTGAGCCTGATGCTGTGTTTCCCTGTATATAAATACACTACATGGCCTCATTTATAAGGTAAAAAGCTTGATTTCCATCATAGAGGTCTTCAAATGTGAGATTCGTGGATCACCACACGGCCACAGGAAAGGCTTCTCTCACTACAGCACCACACTGCTTTATTTCAGCTACCACATAATGTAGTGCAACTGTTTTGAAAGAGTAATTAGGGTAAAGCACCTGCACAGAGCCACCACCAGATATTTCCAGCAGGATCCTGTTCCAAGCACTAAATAACTGTCATTAGGAAACAGTCCCAAAATGATTATCCCGATGCTACAAAACAAAAAAGGGGCTCGTTGTTCAACTCTGGATATAGCAGGCTCTAGCAGACCTTGAGTTCTAAAATATAAAGCACAGGCAGTTATGCTGAGGCACACAGTTGGGACCGGAGCCTCGTTCCACAGCATCCCATCTCCCTCAGGAGCAAGGTTCCAGCCAGGAGGAGCACCGGTTGAGTTAACACGCAGTAAGAAGCCTGGCTCTCAGCCAAGCTCCCATTAAGGTCTTCTACCGGTAAAACTGTTCACACAAATCTCTGACACCCTTCCACTGAATACCCCTGCTGCTGTGAATAAACCAAAGAACAAACAATTGATATTCCTGTCCATCTCTGGTGGAATACATTTTGCTAAAACACTCTGCCAGGAAAAGGAACGGTGCAGCTGCCAACTATCTCCTTTAGCTGGGAAATGGCAAGACGTTTCTAATCTATGGGAAAGAAGAAGGTATTGTCCCACTGGTGAGGAGAAGCACATCCACGCTTTACAATAACAGAGAGGTTCAGTAAAGGAGTGTTTAAGCATTCTGGAAACAAGTGCAACTCACATTTTTCTTGCATAGACAACATTAGGCGGCTAAGCGTTGAGCACTTCCAGGGCTGGTATGGACTGAACACTCTACTGGAGGGGTGTCCAATCCTG